TAAATCCTCGGCCCTTTTTGCAGATTCTTAATCACTGTTAAAATTCTTTAGTTTTTGTCCATTTTCCACTTTTTCTTCTATTTTAATTATTATTTCGAAGTTATTATCTGGACTCCAACATGTAGTTTATCTGTGAGTCTCCTTTTATCTATATGTGAGTTTCATTATCAGTGAAATTTTCTTGCTCTTGTCATCATGTACAAATTTATTTATAAAACCCTACATGTAATATACTTATGGTATTTTCTTCTAAAAATGAAAACAGAATGATAATATGATTATGTAAAGCCAGTCTGAGCTGGTATAAATTGCAGTTTTAGTAAAACTCAGTCTACTTCTGGTTTTTCTCTTTTCTTCATATATCATTCCTCTGAGCTTTTTATTGGATGCCAGCAAGATGCCTGCCTCTTCTGCCTTGAAGTTTCAGTTCTATCTTTTAAGAGGTTTTAAACTTAGATCTTACTCTCCTATTTGCACACCTTTAAAAATAACTGTAAATGTCTTGAGTAGAAAAACTGCTTGTATATCCAGGTGAATTATTTTCTCATTGCTGACACAAAATATCCAACACTCACAAGTTAAAGAGGGAAAGGTTTATTTAGCTCACAGTTTGTAGAGGTTTTAGTCCACTATCAACTAGGTCCAAGGCAGAGTAGCACATGCCAGAGGGGCAACAGCTCAGAGTGGCGGAAAATAGCAACAAATGAGAGATAAGCTTTTTTATGTCCCTTATATTATATAATATAAAGCTACTGGGATTAGGGTGGTGCCAATCTAATCATTGGACTGCAGCAATCATCCACCCTTAATTCCATCACCCTTAATCCCAGCATTGTACTTCAAGTCAATCACATACTCTAGAATCAATCACTTCTGAAAAAACTCTGTGACCTTAGGAGACTTTGGGAAGACATCTAGACACAAATCATAACACTGAGGCAGGTTCCTTCTTTTATATGCACTGGCAGAGTACAGGGTGATTTCACTGTACCATCAGGCTCAGCCTCTCAACCTTCTGCATCATCCCAGGACTCAGCAAATTTCCTGTGGAAAACTGGATGAATACCTGGGGCTTTTCTACATTTCAAATTCATTACGTAACTGGCACAACTCTGTAGTAACCTGGACAAGCAAGAACATCATCTCAGAATAAATAAATATTATTGGAACTTCAAGAGTAATACTTTGTGATCCAATCCAAAAATGGGCATCTGAGATGAATATGCAGTTCTCAGATGAAGAAATGCAAATGGCAAATAAATACATGAAAAAATGCTCATCATCATTGGTCATTAGAGAAATGCAAATTAAAACCACACTGAGATACCATCTCACTCCTGAAAGAATGGCCAGGATCAAGAAAACCGACAACAAATGCTGGAGAGGCTGTGGGGAAAAAGGAACTCTCCTGCACTGTTGGTGGGAGTGTAGACTGGTACAGCCTTTGTGGAGATCTGTCTGGAGATTTCTCAAAAAGTTGGGACTGGAAATCCCATTTATTCCAGCTATTCCACTTCTAGGCATATTCCCAGAAGAACTGAAAGCATCATACCACAGTGATATATGTGCACCTATGTTTATAGCAGCACAATTTGTAATCGCCAGATCTTGGAAACAACCCAAGTGCCCATCAACTGAGGAATGGATAAAAAAGTTGTGGTATTTCTATACAATGGAGTATTATTCAGCTATAAAGAAGGATCACATTGAGATATTTATCAATAAATGGGCGCCGCTTGAGACCATACTCATTAGTGAAATAAATCAATCTCGCATGTGTGAATACCGAATAGTTTCCCTAATGTAAATAATGATTCAAATATATAAAAATATGTGGTAATCATGATTCCCCATTGGGTGGCCTTGAAGCCTTATAAAGTTTTCACTCATTAATTAGAAAGGCTTTATTCTGGGCTTCTTGATATGAAAATATTTGAAGCTAGAGTATATGAAGTTTTATCCAAATATTTCAAGGAAAAAGACACTATGGTAACTACTATTAAGTCAGGTTATAAGGTGGTGAAGTACTAGGTTGTTGAAACAGTCATGCTGTGACCTCTATTGTTATATTGTTATGTCCTGTTTTATCTCAATCTCCCCCTTATTGTTTCAAAAAAAAATTAGTCATTTCTTATGTTTGTCTTAATTAAAGAAAAAATTCAAAAAAATTAGGATATATAAATAGTAACTCTTTTTGATTTCCTATTAACTTGTTTTGAAGTCCTGTAGTACTCCCACGATCTTGTTTTGACTGATTAGACTCTGTTCCATTCTATATGATAGTATCAAGTTTGAAGACATAGGCAACTACTTTGAAGACAATAAGATTCACTAAGATACCCATTCTGGTTTGACTATTGTCTTCTTTGGAAGTCCTGTAATGTTTACAATGCCTAAGTTTTATTGGTCTTGTTCTCTACTGTTTTGTCCAACTTTATAATATCTAATGAGATAGACAATTCTTTTTAAGGAAACAAGGGACAACGTTGATAACCATTGTTGATAAACTTGTACTCTGTTCTACACCATGTGCTATGTCTATCCTTGGTATTGACTGACAGCTTTGTTTTGCCATATTTGACTGTATTCTTCCCCCCGCCCCAAAGAAAGTAATAAGCACTAAGGAGTAATAAAATCCAAGATGTGTAAATTTTGTTGTAAAAAAGAGAAGGAAAAAAAAAAGAAAAAGAGCTCTAACGGATATAACAGCAAGTGTGTTTGGGGGTGTTAAATAGCTGACTTTATCAATGTTTTTGGAACATTGAACACAGCTGTTTGCAGTCTCCCTGTTTAAATGTCCACCTTGTGTTCTTTGATACTGTGATTTGAGGAACTATTTTCAAGAAGATAGTGTGTAATCTACTAGCAGGTGATTTCTTACTATTATGTTTTTTTGTTTTGTTTTGTTTTGTTTTTTTGTAGTTCTGTATTGCGTGTACCCTTACGCCGCTTTGGTTTGTTTTGTGTTTTTCTCTTTCTCCTCTTAAATAAAAAAAAAAAAAAAAAAAAGAGTAATACTTTGTGTCAGTAAGAAGTACTGAGCTGAATAGACTCCAATTTTGTGTCACCTTGGCCTTAAAAAGATGTCTTCCTTGTAGATGATGAGTCACTTTAAGAAAATTGATATGTTAAAAATGAGAGTGATAGTGAGGGGATGGAAGAGAAGTATTCACAGGATTCAGTTCAACTAATTGAGTGCTATCATGCACTGTGCATTGTGCTCAGCACTGGGGACACCAAACAGGTAATGTCCTTTGTTACAGACTGTTTGGGCCCTTCCAAAATTCTATGTCAGCACTCTACTCTCCAGTGTCATAGTATTTAGGGGTAGTGTCTTTTGATAGTTTAAATGAGCTCATGAGGCTGATTCCCCATGATGGGGATAAAGGAAGAGACAGGAGATCTTTCATTCCGTACCCCTCACTCTTCGCAGGCCATGCAGAGATGTAACAGGAAAATGGCCATCTGGCATTAACCTCCAGAACTGGTTAAGCTACCCAGGCAGAGGTGTTTGGTATAACAACCCTAGCAGATCTGACACTCCTGCCTTGGTGTTTCCAAAAGGCCAACTTCATGAGAGATTAAAATGACTAATTCAGGGGAAGAGGATGAAAAAGGAATTGAGATGTGTTATGTATGTATACGAATTCCATACAAAGAATGTAAACACTAAATACTTCAAACACGGACTAATAAAAATAGAATTAGAAAAAAGTAAATGATTAATTCAAGGATATATAAGATAGATGTGGTGGTGCACACCTGTAATCCCAGCACTAAGGTAACTGAGGTAGAAGGATCACCCTGAGTTCAAGCCCAGCCTGGCCTACACAGTGAGTTCAAGGCCAGCATGAACTACACAGCAAGACCCTGGCCCTATTTTAAAAAACCAAAACAAAAAAGAATATATGTCATTATAAAGCATTCATTTATGATTTTGTCTAAAAATGTTTCCAAAACTCTATAATAGCTCCTAATGTAAATTTTTTCCAATCTTTATCAAACCATATAGGTATCATTTATTAAAACAGATTTATCACTGCCTTACTCAGCTGGATGTGGGGGGGGGGCAGATCCAGTAAGAGACCCACAAAGCAAACTTTCACAGCTGGGCTAGTCACTGAGTTACACAAGCATTTTTTTGTTGCCCCATTTATCAAAAGTAGATTTAGGGCCTGGGGATTTAGCTCAGCGGCATAAGCACCTGCCTTGCAAGCAGGCGGTCGTGAGTTCAATCCCTGGTACCGGTAAAAATGAAAAAGACAAAAAAAAAAAAAAAAAAAAAAGTAGATTTATCATTGCCTTATTGAGCTGGATTTAAGGGGCCAGATCTAATAAGAAAAAGCACAACACAAACTTTCACAAGTAGGTAGTCATTGAGTTACAAAAACATTTTTTGTTGCCCTTTACTTCATCAATTAGAACAGCGAGTGAGGGGATTAGAAAGAGAAGGCTGGAAGAGAATAAAGTTCACGTAAGACAATAGTGATGGAGGAAAAAATTTAAAAGTCATTGAACATTTAAAAAATTTAAAAGTCATTTAAAAGTACATTGAAGCAATGTAACACTAGGAGATGAGCCATTGAAGAGAAGTTTTCAGCCCACATCTTTCAACCTAGACGGGTTACATTTCCCTTAAAACTATTATTATTATTACTATATTTATTTTTTTCGGTACCAGGGATTGAATTCAACACCTCGCACTTGCCACGCAGGTACTTATGCCACTGAGCTTAAATACCCGGCCCTCTTAAAACTATTGAGCTGCCATTATGAATTCTACAAGCTGCCTATTTTATGGTACTATCTCTGCTCAGCATAATTCTAAACGGTATACTTTTTGTCCTAGTTCAAGTTCTTTTTCTGTTTCCCTATATTTCCCTATATTTCTGTTTCCCTATATTTCCCTATATCTCTATATATCTAGAGATACCCTCGACTACTCATTAGATTTGTTTCTCTTAGGCAGTAGTTCAATTCCTCCGACCTTTGGTGATGGTGGAATAAACGAAACGTATGGAACACAAGCCATAATAAATATGCCTTCAAGAATCTTTTCAGTACTCAGTATGCAGGAGAGGACATGGTGGTAGCTATTCTGAGGGAAACCTCTAACGCGGGATGCTGCCGACATATTCGTGATGTCTGTGTGCACGTCGCAAACTGGGCAAACACATCTTAGGAGGGTTCTAGGCTCGCTGTCTACTGAGACGCGGTGTTCTGAGGCCCAGCTATGGTGCGCTGGGCGTCTCTACTTCCGGCCCCGCCTCGCGCTCGTAGTTGCTAGGAGACGTGATGTCACCGGAAGCAAGGCCTGGGATAGGCTGAGGTGAGGGGAAGCCTCTCCCCCTCGGCAACCCCGGCGCCCGCTGCTGGCTCTCCAGCTGTCTGTAGGCCCGGGGGTAAGGGTCCGAGCAAGAGAGCAGGTCCTGACCCCGCCCGCGCACCCGCGCTCCCGCCTGCCCTGCGCTCCTGCTGACACCAGCCGTCCCGGCCAGGGCTACCGGTGCTCTGGCCAACGGGCACAGTTCTCTCAGCCGGCGCTGCCTGCCACGTCCCCGTGCTTGGCCGCTGGCTCTGCGCGGCGGGTGACCTTTCTGAGCCCCGCGCGATGTGGACTCCCGGTTCCGGGCCGGCGCGATTTCCTCAGAGCCGCCGGCCCCGATTCGCGCCGCTCTTGCCGCCGCTCTGGCTCCTGCTTCTGGTGGCCGTGGGGCCGGCGCGAGGCTGGGAGAGCGGAGACCTGGAGTTGTTCGACTTGGTGGAGGAGGTGCAGCTTAACTTCTACCAGTTCCTCGGGGTGCAGCAGGTACGCGCGAGCGCGCAGGCGGGGCCGCGCAGGCGGCTCTGCCCGCTTCCTCCGCCGAGCCGCGCGGGAGGGCGGACGGGGCCTCGGGTTGGGCTTGGAGCTCATCGAGATCCCCTGAGTCTTTCGTAAGCACAGCCTGCCCCGACGCTGACCTCCCCAACCTCTAAGGTTCGAGTCTCAGGGACAGGCTGCACGGTGCCACCAGCCGGGGTGGTGGTGACACGTTCTTCTCGCTCTTGGCTTCCGGGAGATCCAGCCCCCTACAAAGAAGGCAAAGTGATGTTCCTCCCCTTTTACATCTACCTTTTCCTTTCCCGCCTCCACGAATATGAGAAAGTACCTGTGTGACACTCTCAGTTGTCATCTTTCCACTTACTTCCTTTCCGGGAAGCGAGGAATGCATTTTGGTTAGTGCCTGTGGCAGTAAGTTTTCTTAACCTTGCCTTTTTATAATCTTTTGAGCCTGTTAGATGGGAGTTCGTATCACAGTGTAGAAATCTGGAGGCATCTAAAACCTCTGCCGAGTTAGTCCCAGAACTCAGGAGAAACTAGGAAGATTTCAGGGCAATGCAGGTACTTCGGGTGTTGTTGGAGTACAAGATCAGTTTCTTTTTGCTTTGCTTTTCGCGGTGTTTCCTTTTCCTTTTTCAGCTTGAGACTTTACCTCATATAAGCCAATTACTTTTTTCCTTTGGTGCCCTCGAGGATACGGCCTTTGCCCTGTTGCTACAGGAATCCTAGTGTCAAGGAGAGGATGACATTTCACTGATTTCAGGATTATGGAGTGAACGACTTAGACTTACACACGATCCGATTGAGCCCATCAGACAATATTTTGAATAATTTTGGGGCTAAGAAAAAAAATTTAAAGTTTATCTATGGTTGTCACTTAAGCCAGACTTCACCTGACTAAATATGACATGCATACTGGTTATTATAAATTTGGATGAACTATTGGATTTTTAAATGAAAAATTGATTTTCAAGTACTGCATTTTCATTCTATTATTGGATATAAAAGTGTTAGAGTGTATTTGCATTTAAGTTGAGGAAGAACTCCATCTCCCACTTCAGAAGCTTGTGTGCAAAGAATTTTGTAATGACCAAGTGTCACCTAGTGTCATTTCCTGCCCATAAAGACAAATTGTACAGCATTTTCAGAGTAAATAGTGATGCAATATGTGTGCCAACAATGAAGCTGTATGTTTGAACACTAACTTTTCAGAATGCCTGTAATACTGAGAATAATTAGAATTCTCAGGAACGGTTAAAATTTGTTTGGGAGAGCCTTATACATAATTTATCTGAAAATCTTGAAGATACTTTCCATTTGGTCGTGGAAATTAAGCTGCTTTAAGAGAATACAGATATTGAAGAGTGGTGGTTTAAATTTTAGATTATGGGGGCTGGGAGTTTAGCTCAGCAGCATCTGCCTGGCAAGTACTAGGTCTCCAGTTCAATCCCCAGTACCTCCCCCTCAAAAAAATTTAGATTATGTAATCTAAGTCTGCACATGTACCACCGTAGAATTTTTGTTTCTTAAAAAAAGAATTTTCATTTATAATTCTAAGCAACTTACTTTGCAGTTAATGAAGCAGTGTAAACAACCAGGGCACTTAACTGTCTGAGTAAAGATGGGAAAATAAAGAAGCATAGATAACTGAGAAGATTCTTTGTTGAGGGAGAATTTGAAAAGAATCTAGAAAATTATTTTAATCTGTGTTTCTCTGCCTAGCTGTGTTGAATTTGGAAAGAAAGTCAGAAGGAACTTTATTTTGTGTAAGCAGAGAAATGAATTGGAATAAGCTCTTTACTTTGAGTCTTAACTTTATTGGACAACTTTCAAGGATCCAGACATTTACTAGAGACAAATGCAGCTTGTTTAAGGTCCTTCATGTGTAATTTTTCAAGCAAGAACCTATTACTTGGGGACTAGCCCAACACTCTGGAACAGAACAAAGTAGGTAGGCAGCTCACAGTGGTACCCTGGCTCTATGTTGTGGTCAGTTTTATTGTTCATTCAACAGAGATTTATTTGATGTCTGCTGGATTTTAATCACTTAGAGTTAGTCTTAATATAAAACAAAACCCACAACCCCATGTAACAGTTTAGTAGGGAAAACATATAAACTGTAAATATTAGATGGTCACAGAAGGCCTCTGAATGAAGTTAGGGAAAAAGCCATGTGGATGCTTGTGTCCTGTTCTGTTTGGATTGCTTATAACAATATATCATAAACTAGATAGCTTTTCAACAACAGAAATTTATTTCTTATAGTCCAGGAAACTAAGAAGTCCAAGGGTGAGTACTGGCAGATTCTGTGTCTAATGAAGGCCTTCTGGCTTATAGATGATATTTTCTTGCTGTGTCCTTTCAGCAGCAAAGGTCAAGGCAGCTCTCTGGAGCTTCTTTTGCATTAGCATGCTAGGGATCTACCTTATGACCTAAGCAACCCCATATGCCCTGTCACATTAGGGATTACGACTGAACATGAATTTTGAAGAAACTCAGATATTCAGATGGTAGCATGGTGGAGGAATTTCTTTTTTTTTGTTTGTTTTTTTAACCCTGGATTGAACTCACAACCTAGTGCTTGCCAGGCAGGCGCTTATGCCTATGCCGCTGAGCTAAATAAATCCCCAGTCAAGGAGGAATTTCAAAGAAGTGCAGAGGCCTTGGAGCAGAAGCGTGCTTTAGTGTTTGAGAAATAGCAAGGGAGCCCATGTAGTTGCAGCAGAGTGACTGAGGAAGATGGTAATAGGTGAACTCAGAGGCACAGGCAGTAAGGAACGAGCATGTAGGGTATTGCAGGTCATTATAAGGATTTTGGCCTTTTTTTTAGAAGTAAGTTGGAAAACCAGTGGAGACATGGTTGTTGAAGAGAAGAGATGCTTCATTTGACTTAATTTTCAAAACCGTAGTTTTATTTTGTTAAGCTTAGTGCAAAAGGTATTAGTTACTTAGAGGAATAATTGTAGCATAGCGTGTAGAATAAACTTGAGTGGTCATGTGGAGGTGGTATAAAGTGGTTGGATTCTGAATTTAATGTGAACATAGAACTGACAGGATTTTATGGATGGTTTAAATGTGGGATGTAAGAGAAAAAGAGAAATCAAAGAGAATGCTAAAGGGTATTGTCTAAAGTACTTTAAAACCTGGAAAGATGTAGCTGCCATTTATTGAGTTGAGGAAGTCTGGAATAAAGTCTGGTTGAGGGAAAATCAGGAATTTGGGGAAATACTAAATATTTAGTATCTGTTTAGCATTCAAATGGAGCTGGCATGTACGTATTTGGTTATTCAAGTCTGGGGACCCAGGGGCAGGAAAGCATGGCCCCTGGGAAAGCATGGCTCCCTCTCTGTGCTCTGTAATTGGAATAACCCAGGACTTTTAGGACATTGATTAGGTTACCCCCTGGCTTTATGACTTTAAGCACAGGACAGATAGTATCTTTCTTGTTTATTTACTTTACAATTAGGCACATACTGGACACTTAAATATTTACTGAATGAAATAATGTATTATAACTAAAACTAAACAAGTAGTTGCTTGACAGTTTTTAACTCCATAGGTCACATTTATGCTTGACCTTCTACAGCCCTTTTAAGCAAAGGAATCTCTTTTCATGTATTTTAAGTTGATTCTAGAAGTCTAGAAAGGCACTCCAGAAGTCTTTGGGGAAGGGTTGAATATAGACAGCATGTTAGTGGCTCAGTCTGTCAGTGCCATTTATGTATCCATAGGACATTCCACTTTAGATACTGCATTTTTTTCAGAGGAGTATGGAGATAAGGAAAATGAAAAGCGGAGAGGAAAAAAGATATGCTATGGAAAGATCTTTTGTTAGTAACTTCTGGGATCCCACATGATATTTATATTTTATCTAGCAACTCCTGCTAGACATTTATTTCTTGTGGAATCACTGGCAATTCTGGTTTCTTTGGTTTGTTTACTTTTTGGTACCAGGAGTCAAAACTTGCCAGGCAGGTGCTGTGCTGCTGAGCTACATCCCCTGGCCCTTTGTTTTGTTTTTTAGATTATCTTTTTGGCCATGACTTTCTTATACAGTACCATTTATAATGCAGTATTCTAACCAACAATAAATATTTCATTTAAAAATCTGAATTGAAATAATGATAACCTAAATTATCTTAAATGTTGTAGTATTTTCTTTATGCTAAAGTGATGGTAATCTTAAGGATGCCAGTCAGTCATTACAAATTCTTACCATTTATAAAGCTTAAAAATGTTCTTCAAAATCTTTATTTTTAAGTAACTTTATCCAGTATTCAAAGAAATGCTAAATCTTGGTTAAGGGAAGAAAAGCTATTATTAAGTGACGTATGCTTGTAAAACATTTGGATTTTAATTTATTAAACTCTGTTAATAAGCCTTTTAAGATCTTTCATTTTGTATTTTCAGATATATAGAATGTATAAATGTATAGGATAGCAACCTTTTTAGGGAAAATGTTTCTAGCTAAAACCAAATACCTCTATAAAACAACTTAAAGGAAGACAGGTTTATTTTGGCTCACAGTTTGAAAGGTTTCTATCCATGATCAGCTGATGTCATTGCTTTAGGCCTATGATGAAGCAGAAACATTATGGTGGACAGGCAAGGCACAGGAAAACTGCCTACTTCATGGCAGCCAGGATGCAGAGATAGCCTGTACTGTTGACTTCCTCCATCTGTTTTTGTTCCATGTAAGCCCCCATCCTAATGGATGGTACTACTAACTAACTATGGACTGAGTCCCTCTAAACCATGAACTAAATTACAATTTCGCCTCTTTAGGTTGTGGATGTGAAGTATTGTGTCCCAGCAGTGGGAAAACTGATTAATCCAGAAAATTGGTGCCAGAGAAATAATGTTGTTGCTGTGATTGTACCTGACTGTGTAGTTTACATGCTTGTGGAATGGTTTACAGGAGGAGTTTGGAAGTGCTTGGAGAGGCAGCCTAGAGAAGCCCTAGAATGCTTTAAACAGAGTTTGATGGT